TTGACGATGAGGTAATTAAAACGTTGCTTGTGTATTATTAAGTTCATAGCAGTTCGCTAATTGTGCGAGTGGCAGTGACTCGTTGCGAAATTGCTATCAAGTGTTCTATAGGGGATTACGTCACTCCCGGCTCCGAGCTCCTCTTGTACGGCTCCTGTCTAAAGTACGGCTTTTGCTACGTTAAAAATCTTTTCATACAATATTTAATTTCGCCTCCATTTTTCACAAAGCTTCGCCCACTCTCTGATCTGTTGCTTGTTAGAATTGAAAAGGTAAATTAGCGTAGGAGCTTAATCATGGTTTTATCTTTCTCTACAACATATAAAGATGTTTCAAAAATAGATATTTCGTATTTATTATTCTTATGCCACTGAAATAGGTCCATAATAGAGCATAGAAAGCGACACGTTTAAGAACTATTGCTTATACATAATTCGTTTCGCATGGTTCAGAACAGGGAGACGGCGTCGACAGGCACCGACCTAATTCCATGCTTCCACTTACCCTCGTTACAAGTTTACGGTGCATACCTTTAAATATTCAATAATATCGACCAAACGGATTGGTATGTGAAACGAGAGACGGCGTTTACTGTTTTCGTGTTATGTCTACATAGGGACCATGTTTATTTAAAAAAATCTGCTGTAATAATTGGCTTTACTGTGGTTACACGTAGTTACGAAAACGTAACTACGTGTAACCACGAAGATAAGCTGTGACATAAAAATGTCACAGCTTATCTTCCTGTTTTCAAAGTTACACCTAATAATAGTTATCGGCAAAGAAATTTAACTAAATTACAGATTCTAGTTTTTAATATCAGTCTCTAAAAGAAACAACTCTCTTTAAAAAAAATACCAACCTAATTATTTATGAAATGAAGGTAGGAGTTTTATTGCAGAGTTCAATCTATCAATTGGGGCAATCAATTGCTTAAATCAAAGGCAATTATTGACAGAATAGTATTACGTGATCTTTGATTGTCACTATTATAGTATGTTTTGTAATCTCTTGAAAAAGTTGTTTTTTTACAACCATTGTTTGTAAATTCTCAGCTTGCTAGTGGTATGTTTGGCGTAAAATAATTCAAAGGGAACTTTTTATCCGACCGAAAATGATTTGTTCCATAAATATATAACTAAATATCTTCCAATTCAAGTTCTATTTAAATTGAAGTATTATTTAATTTAATTTAATTGTTAGATGTTAACTTTACTTCGCGTTATGTAACTTCTAATTGTTACAATTTTATAAAATGTCTAACAAACTGAATCTTGCAAGAAATAACATCGACGTAAAATAAGAAATCCAACAAACAATTCTTATCTAAAAGTTTTGGCTACGTAACTGTTTCTACGACATAAATTTTCTGACAAATAACACCGATAACTTCACGACCTAGAGTATAGAAATCTAGGTCTGCAAGTTATACTGGTGCTGAGTTTCATATGAAACAAACAGGTACTTGAATTTATAATGTTGGTTAAACTCTAGCAAATTCCATGTGATTATGGAAAGCAGTATAGCTTAGCTCAAAGTGTATTAAATTTAATACGGCAATTATTTTCTTCACCAGAAACTTGATAATGTGTAGATATTGTCTTAATATTGTCTCATTATCACCGTAGAGTACACAGGGTGATACAAATATGCAATCTAGCTTTTATACTAAACAAAATCTCACACATCTTTCTTATGTAGGAATTAAATCTAAGATCTAACATGTGACATTTGAATAGTTTAGTAAACTACGGGATTATTTAACTTATCTCTTTGTTATTTTATGATAAGATCGGGATTTGTAATGAATGCTGTTTTCTAACATTTATTTATACAATTCTCATTTTCACTTTCATTAAAATTTAAATATTTCACACGGCTATACGATTTCTCTGAAACTTTTGCATTCAATGCACATCTTGATAGACCGTTACTGTTGTTTTATGTTTTACTATCGCGTAGACGTTTGTGGAGACGATACGTTAAGCATTTTAATTTTTTCTTGTAACTAATTTGGTCTGTTATTTACTAACTGTTTACAAAGCCATCATCCTTAAGAAAAGTATCATATAAAATTCACGGTTTCTCTATATTGTGTATAGCTAAACATCATCTGCTAGCACTTTTACCCACGGATAGTGGATACAGTTTTACTACTCTTTCATATGCTGCTAGAAGTTCGTGCAAAATGAAATTATACCCCATTTGTATATCGTCTTTCACAATCGAAGTACACGTTTTTTGGTCTTCCCTTTGTAGCCTTACGCTCAATCCCATTACGCAATTCGGAAATAATATTTCTTTACTGTTAATTAGATACTAAGTACTTATTACTGTATCATAATACGGTTATCTTGAACATTTTAAATACAATGCAAATTACGTCTCTTAGCGCGCGTAATACTTGACATTATCTGTAGTAAATTATTTACATTGACGTCTGCTAACAGATGTAGAAAGTTGTAGTTGCGATTGTAATCGATTCTTGATAATCTCTATTATCAAATATCTTATCTATTTGTTCTTACCTACAGTTATTTTTATTTATTTGAATTTTAAAATACATGGAAGACGTGTGATTTTCCATAGTCAGTCAAATTCCTGTTTTTTTTTTTTAAATTCGCATCGTATCTTTTCAGGATAAATTTTTGTATCATTCTTGATTTTAAATATAGAACATTTTAGGTTTATTTGAACCTCTATGTAAACTTTACATCATTCAAGTACAAAATTATGTAAATCTTGAGGTGTACATAATTAGGAACCGAAAGTTGTTGAGCAGAAGAAAAAAAATCGCAGTAAGGGCCCTTGTGTTATCTATATTTAGCTTGGAGCTGAATCTAGGCCGGCGGCACTTGTACGTGTAGATTGCGGATTGCAGAGTTATCTCACCGCTAGTATTTAAATATGACGTTAGTTACGTAATATCGAAGCCAGTCACAATTAATTATTAGGTAATTCAATGAAAATCTAGTATCTTAGTGTATGTTATCGGAGGACTAGAGAATTGATTGAGTTGTCCCAACATAACTTTATCGGAGACTAGCTGGTTCCATGCGACTTTATCCTCATAAAATTATAAAAATTTCATTTTATTGTTCAAATTTGTCAAATTATCAATTGCAAATGTCAAAATGACATGACATGATGGTTCCTTGATGTTGGCAACAACTTATGGTCTCTTTCCCACATTAGGGTTTTTGTCCAAAATATTTACCCCCTAAGTTTAATGGTGTTAAAATATATAGCCTAAAACGAGACGTAAATGTTGGGCTTTTTATTGAAAAAAAAAGAGTTATAAAAAATATGCTGTGATTGCTGACATCTTAGGCATCAAAGTATTGTGTGTTGACGCTTTATTATAATAGTATAGACAATTGGGAAACTCATGAATTAAAGGGAAAATATTTATACACTAAACAAGATAAATACATTAAATTCTATAATAACTTTAAGTTCGTCGTAGAAATAACTTAATTACATTACTGTGTTATAATCTCGATATATGATTTCTTTTTCGTAATTTAAATATTGCTTTTATTTTTAAGGAGCAAATTAAAAGTAAATTATGTTATCTGTTCCTCATGTTAATTGTTAACACAATACGTTTTACTATATCGGTCAACACATATCGATTTGAATGTAAGCCGATTTGACGGATAAAGTCCACGCTACGGTATAGTATACTCGACCTGTCATTTTTATATGACCTAATTAATTATTTTTATTGAATGTCCGTTATTTATAAATTGATTGTTAGGTGGTCAGAATTATCGCATTGGTTAAAGGTGGTTTATAAGTAGCTTAAAGTGGTCTATAAGCCTAAAATTATTGTTTTTTTGAGGCCAGTTATAATCATACTTCATACTAATATTATAAATGTGATAGTTTAGATGGATGGATGTTTGTCAGAGTTTGTAGCCCAAACGGCTGCCCCGATTTCGATGAAATTTGGTAGAGATGTAGAGGATAGTCTGCAAGAACACAGTTCGTTTTTTTTAATTCCACGCGGATGGAGTCGCGAGCAAAGTCGGGGGCTAGTACTGTATAAATATAACAGCTAACTAAACCTTTGTTTTACTTAAGAATATTATAAGTATTACTTAAGAATCCAACAATCAGAAACGTACTAGATACCTATGTAGATAGAAGTTACAAGTAATTAAAAATGATACATATTCTGTTTTGTATGTTATTGTTCTTAACATAATTGTTGGCAAAGTTTTCTTTAACGCTTTGACCTATTTTCAAGTATAAAAGAACACGTTTCATACAACTGCTGGTGTTTTTTATGTAAAAAATTGAAAAGGCAAAGTTCAAGTTTTATTTTCTCTCATAGATTGTTATCTTGTGACTAAACATTTAAACAAGCACATTATTCTTGGGATATGACATTAAGTTAACATTAACATTAAGTTATTATGACTATTTAAATATTGTTAGTATCAAAATTACTAATAATTTAGGCATTTTTACAATAACAATTTAAAAAAATATTATTAATAATTCTGAAACTCGACTTGCGATTTTAAGCTGTATAAAATTCTGTCGAGAATTTATATGTATATGAATGTGATTTAACTTTTAAATAACTTTCAACGAACGTTTGAAAGTATATTCCCACTTCTGTTGGGTTTATTAGAACCAAATTAGAAAGTTTCACGTCTGCTGGAAAATATCGAAAGTGGATGAACCCGCGGAGAAACGATATCCGACTCAAAGGGACCAACTTTAATTAGAATCGATTGCTGTTTGATGCCAGCTTCTACTAACTTTTCCACGAATTCACCCAAGATTATTGATTAGACTAGTTATGTCCTTTTAGCTCATCTCCCCTCGCTTCTTCTAACTGCGCTTTTTTTAGAAATATCGTTTTATAAACTTTTTAACGCCCGTAACTTTCTAATTTCATATTAAGAGTGCTTCGGTTCATATTATTGTTTTAAGTCATTCAAATCTCGTGGCAAATGTTCTTAATTTGATTTTTTTCTTCTTTCCAGTTGAGAGGTTGAGGCGAGCTCGGCACGATGGGGAAACTTCTATCGAAAATCTTTGGCAACAAGGAGATGAGGATATTGATGCTGGGACTCGATGCCGCTGGAAAGACTAGTATCCTTTACAAAACGATTAATAAATATTAAGAAAAAAAACTTTAAAAAGAATAAAAAATAAGTAAAATGGTGGCTTGGGGAAACCAAACTCATTTTGATTTGTTATAATAATTTGTATTCCATAGTTTTAGATAGCAAACATTATTTCAAAACTTTCTTGGTACAATATTTTGAGACAGCTTAACCTCATTTATTGTTTTAAGCTTTCTAAATCGTATATTTTTTCAGTATAATTTTGCAATGCCATTAGTTTGTTTTGAACTTTTTTACTTTCGTTTCTGTTCTTTCAATCTATCAAACTGCAGTTTGATACGGAACTGAAATTTATAAACGCCAATCGTAATTATTATTATTTTAAAGTGGAATAACATATCAATTTATAGACTTTGATTATTGGTATGATTAGTGATATTAGACCATCATTTTAACCATTCTGTAATCACGTTTCTAGTATTATTACTAGTATTTACCTGAAAGTTGTGTGTTTCGCTCTTTATTAATAATTAAAATATTCGACAGTTTATAGCTGTCAATAATTATCCTAACATTGTCTCCATCAGCTATTTTATATAAGTTAAAATTAGGTCAGTCAGTCACAACGATACCGACGGTCGGTTTCAACGTGGAAACCGTCACGTACAAGAACGTCAAATTCAACGTGTGGGACGTCGGTGGACAGGATAAGATCCGACCGCTATGGAGGCATTATTACACAGGTAAGCATTTTTTTATTAAAACGTATAAAACCAATCAGATTTCACGCTCTATTTGACTGACTTGATAAACTCGATCGATTAATACAATTTCTTTCACTGTCCTTACTAGTGTAAATATGATTATGTCTAGGTCTACTAAGAATTTCTTTGAATGTTGCGAGAATGTATTCTACGTCAAAATTTGCATGAAATAATGCCCGGTAGAGGCGTTAACACATCTGCAAATTTTATCATTGACGTTTCTAAAACGTTTTCACGAATATTCACAATAGACCGCTGGCTTTGTAATCTTGCTACCGACTGGAGGGGAATATTTTTGGCGAGTATTTTGTATCATTCTCGAAGAAGATGTAAGCCAATTTGTAATCTCCGGATGACGGTTGAGACTTGTCAATGTTAACCAGATGTTTGTATGATGGTTTGTATGTATGTTTCCAGGCACGCAAGGCTTGATATTCGTGGTGGACTGCGCGGACCGCGACCGTATCGACGAGGCGCGCCAGGAGCTGCACCGCATCATCAACGACCGCGAGATGCGCGACGCGATCATACTCATCTTCGCCAACAAGCAGGACTTGCCCGACGGTAATACACTTAGGCAAAGATTTTTTTTTATCTTCTTACTAATATAGATGCAAAAGTTTGGATGTTTATTAGAGTTTGTAACCTAAACTCATGACCGGATCTCGATGAAATTTTGTATTGATGTAGAGGATAGTCTGGAAACCTGCTGCTTTTTTTTGTTTTTTTTTTTTTTAATTGATTTAAATTTGTAGTAGACAAATGCATTTGTTTATAAGATTAATCAAATAAAACGCAAGTAGTGAACACGAGCGTATAAAGCATCATTGCGTAACTGTTTGATAGTGAATCGATTTTAAACATTAACCGATAATGTTTGAAGTATTTGAACATTAATTATTTTAGTTTTATTTGTTTTTTGTTTTTATGTTATTTTTGCCTTAAAACACTTCACTAGTGTCCAGTGTTACGAAAAACTAATTTGAATAAATCTACTGAATTAGTTTTGAGAAATATACATGAGATTTTAATGTGTTGGTAACATATATTTCTTCACTACAAAAAACAGCAAGGGTTAACGGTATGTTGTATAATTTTCAGCGATGAAACCCCACGAGATCCAAGAGAAGTTGGGCCTGACGCGGATCAGGGACCGCAACTGGTACGTGCAGCCGTCGTGCGCGACCTCCGGCGACGGCCTGTACGAGGGCCTCACCTGGCTCACCAGCAACCACAAGTTATGAGCTGCGGAGTAGGCGGCAAGTCGCCGCCAACACTGACACGGTACACACCTTGAATACTCTTTTCTCTTTTCATCCTCTTCTGTCCCGACTCTCTCTCTCTCTCTCTCTCTCTCCTCTAATATCTACCTCTCATGAATCTGCAATACCAGTCATACAAACACGCCTCTTTTGAAAGGAGATTTATGTTTTGTTGAATAGCATTTGGCTACTAGTAAGGGGCTGTCGCACTGGCTGATAGAGACTCAGATATCATACAAATGACGTCACAGGTACAAGGGAACAAAATCCGACATTTCCATCACATTTTACACGGTGGATTGTTATCAGACAATTTGGTCGGACACACCCAAAGTCTTTCCTCCATTGTCTGTTAGGCATAGATAAGTGAACGATACAATATCGACTCTACAGATAATAGATGACTAGCGGCTCCGGTCTGGCTTTGTTCCTTTCATTTTATAAACAATTTATTTTATTGTTCATGTATAACTTTAAATTGCAACGTCAAAATTCAAATCAATAAATGACAACTAAGGTTATTGACATTGGTTAACAATTACCGTTATCATGGCAATGTTGCTTCTTTGATACTACTGGCTTGTAGTTTTGTCCCTTTTCCGCATTACATTTTTTTCCAATTTATGTACCGCCTAAGTTTTATATCGCGGAAATGTATAGCGTAAAGCGTGTCGTAAATTTAGGGTTTTTAATGAATAAGAATCATTCGAAGACTTGCTGTTATTGCTGACATCTTACGCCACGAAGTAGTGTGTGTTTACGTCTTATTATTTTAGTATAGATTTATAGCTTTGATATAAAATTCTGTTATTTTGTTCGTTTCCAGATGAGGATGCCATTTAATTTAAGTAAGCTGCGCCCACGCCGTCGGACAGAAACCTCGTGAACCAGTGCCGTTGTATGGACATTGACTCGTATGTATGTATGTAAGAACCGCTGAGTGTGGACTGTGAGTGCCGCGGCCGCGGGTCTCCGCTAATGTTACTTACAAAACAAAGTGAACATTGTCACACTAAACGAAAATCTATTCCATTATTTAATTAAAATATTAGAGGTTTGTTGTAACGAAATATTTTGATTATTTTTTTATTTTATTTAAAAAAAGCAAATAATTACGTATAGTAAACAATTTTTTTATTATTAATTATTAAAGAAAATTAATTTAATGTTTACCTCCTTTTTTGTATAGTAAGGTAGAAATTAAAATTTTGATGATAGTAATCAATTGATAAAATTAAGTGTCGATGAGAGGTGTAACTATTATAAATATATTAAAAAAGCAATAAAATATTGCACGCCTGCGTATTTAGCGTATTGTATAATAGCTTCATTTGTAACGCATTCTGTGGGTGATAAAAAAATAATTAAAACAAAGTTATTATTGTAACATTTATTCTTTTCATTTACACTACTCCCCCACAGAGATTAAAAAACATAGAGTAGGCATAGTTGACGCTTCTCTTAAGACTTTTTTCACATAATCCAAGCCCCAAAATCATATGTCAATATAAATAATCCTATTTTAATTAATTGCTGATTAGTGTCAGTAAATAATTATAGTTTTTTTTTATAACAAAAGATAGAGCTTATCATAATTTTGTAAAAATGTCTTATTACAATATTTAAGGTGCCACTAAACAGACCACTAACATTATAGTACCTTGCAGAGAAACTACCGGTGAAATAATTCTATTCACTATGCCTAGTCTATATTTTTTAAATGTCTGTCGCATTACATGGAGGTTTTATTTCTTCCCTACTAAAGTGAAAATCAACTCAACACTTTAAACATGTCCCTTTTCTTTTTAAAGACAATAAGAGGGATAGTAATATGTTTTCATATAGTCGAAATCACGAGTAACATTTTATTGCCTTAAATTATTTTTTTGCTAAAAAAAAAAGACTAGAACGTCGTAGATCTTACAATATCTGTCTTTTATAGAAAACTGTGTCCATCAACAAATTTTATATGGTCATATATACACACTGCTTATTTGAGTTTTCCAACTCAAAATGTTTATAAAAATCTTAACAAAATTGACACAAAATTTGTTTGCGCTTCTAAAGTAGCTGGAACATTTAAAACCCACATGGTACTATTATCACTGAATAATTGCGTAACCGAATTAAATTAACTACAAATAAAAGTTACAATCAGAGATTTTTTTTATTTATACCATACCACGTATTACCATGTTCTCTAATTATACTCCATACTAATATAAATGTGAAAGTTTAGATGTATGTTTACTTGTAGCCTAAACTGTTGAACGAATTTTGATTAAGGTATAGATGTAAAGTCTGAAAGAACAAATAGGTTACTCACTTTTTTTTTAAATTCCATGCGAACGGAATCGCGGGTGCAAGCTAGTATGGAAAATTTTTAATAAATTAGTATGGATATAATTGGAAATGACAGCCTTTGCTTCGTTTCTACTTATATACGTACAAGAATCATGGTAGTTCTATTTTTAACAATAAGTGGGCGGCAACTACAGGGATGAATGTCGCTATTTTTTAACTTGGATGTTCCAGATAACACGTGCTGATCCAGAATGTAGATTAATTTGATGACTAGTTTTCGCTCGCGACTCCGTCCGCGTGCAATTAAAAAACAAAAGTGTATGTATTCTTCCAGACCAGGCTATTCTCAATATCGATGCCAAATTTCATAAGAGATTCTTTTAAAAAATAAAACTTATTAGAACATAGTGTAATAGTGTTGTTTAAAAAAACTGTATTTTTCGGACGCTACAATTGTGCTTGAAAAATACATAATTGTAGCAAGTTTTAAATCCACTACAAATTTTAACTTAGAGATAAAAATGTTTTTACGTCTATTAAAGCTGGGGAGAGCGAGAGAAAAAGGCAGTCTCTCTCAAGGGGGAAAATAAAACTATTGTTTACAAACATCAATAAAACTTTTATTTTGGATACAAAAAGTAAATCTTATTATTGAATTTCAGTTAGAGGTGTCCGGAAGGAAGGTTTGGGTAGTCTTATCAGTATTGTATTAAGAATGATGTCTAGCACAGTGTTTTATCAGTGGCAGTTGTGATAACAGACTCCGCGCCGTCGTCGGAGCGCGGCGGCAATATTATCTGCAACTCCTCGTTGAGCTGAACCTCATCTTCTGGAAGTACTATTTCGGGCACCACGGTGTCGTAATCTTCTAGAGTTGATGCATTGCTGGAACAATTACCATATGGTTTAAATTCTTGATATTTTGAAGTTTGTTAGTTTTTAATCAGATTATAATCTTGAATGTGCCACATAAATTGGTAAAACTATATTTTATTTGATAAAGAATAAAATAAATTATATCATGTCCAACCTGAGAGATACCATTTTAACGAACAGATTTAGTCTATATAGGTAACTTTAAACTGTCGTGGTTTTTACAAATATAATGTAAAAACATCCCAATCGTGGTAAGAAACCCGTATCTTACGAACATAAACAGACCAGATTCACAAGCGACTCCCTCCGCATGGAATTTAAAAAAAAATGTTAAGTTTATGTGTTGTTCCAAGCTATCATCTACATCTATACCAAATTTCATCGAAATCCGTTCAGCCGTTTAAGCTACAAACTAACAAACATCCATCCATCTACTTTCGCATTTATAATAGTTTTATTAGTATGATTTAGTCTGTTTATAAACTGACGAAGTTCACAATAGCACAATATTCAATGATATAAAAATACTATTACTTAAGTTGGTCCCCAGCTTTAGTGCCAGCCAGTACTGAGGTGTAGAGCCGCGCGCGAGTGCCGTGCAGACGCATACCGACAGGAATCTCTTCCTTTGCGGGCCGAGCCTCGGATTTAGAATTAAGTGTATTATCGCCTATAAGAAAAAATAAATAAAGAAACGATGTGGTGAGATGTATTCTCGCCAAATGAAATTTTGTAATCTGGCTACAACTTGGATTTCAGGATCATATAAATATTACGACTAAAAAATAAATAAAGTCTCAGTAATCCGTTAGTATGAAGTTAAAAAAATGGTCTTACTGCGTTCCTGAATAGTCTTTTTGGATAAGTCAATAGTCCTCAAATCCTGACCTCGAGTGGACGTTGTTTTCGAAGTTTCGTCGTATTCTTAAAAATCAAAAATATCGTAAAATATACATAAACAAATATTTAAAGAATGATATCGTTTTTTTAAAAACCTTATACAAATGTAAATATACCTTTTGCAAGAGTATCACGTGAGGGTAGGTCAGCGTAGCCGCGGAACAGCATTTCCAGCTCGTCGGGGCTCAGACGGCGTAAGTACGGCACCCTTTTCAAGTCCGGACGATGTAGGGAACGGAACGAATTACGATGCTGTGGACAGACAGAACTAAATCTCGATTTGTAATTTTGACATCGCCACTAGATGGCGTTAACCGTCGGTGTGGTTTATCTGTGGATTTTACATCCGAGTTACAGTCATGCCATGCCAAGAGATGGCAATATTACCGTTTTGTTTAAATATCACGGCAGTGAAAACTTACTGTAGCAATCACGGGAAAGGGAGAAAGAAAAATAATTCTAAACACTGATGGTCAACTAAATGATAAAAACCTCAGAATAAAGAAGCAATAGTCTTTAGATTGAGTTTGTTATAGTGCAAGCGGCAAACTAGCTGCGAATTCGCCTAGATTCACCTAGTTATTCGTTAATTTATCATGCTTCGTTACCTTAACAAGTCCAGGAAATAATTGTGATCTCTCCGATGCTTGGGAAATGCTCAAACATTGCATTACGCTTTCATGTTTCATAGAGATCGCGGACAGCCCGCTTCGCACCAAATCTTGATTGATCTTAAAATTAAAAATTACATAGAGTAAAGGACTCAACATAGCACAATTTGTTACATTTGGACCATTTTATCCTTTGTATTTCAAAGTCCATACATAATTCATCGTTTCCGACATAAAAAGATTGATTAGACTGTGTTCAAGTGTGTGACAGAATAAATCGAGTGGAAAGAATTTGGAGTATTGTCTGATTGATGAGGCGAGAGATGCGGGTGTCTTTTATCGACAACAAAACATTTCTTTGTAACAAAAAGTTGTTTTAATGTTACATTCTTAGGAATAGATTTAGATTAATTTTGTTTAAAACACCCAGTTTCTTTGTTATAAGTTGCTATTTTAAGAAAAATATAAAAAAAACTAATTAAGATGTATCACTGATACATTTTGGTATACGCCATGACATGGCGAATGTAAAAGTATATAGTACAGTCTAGGGGGATCTTTTTTTTAACTACTTTTAATATGTACTTTACATTTTTGTACTGTGTACTATTATACCCAAGTACTGACCTGTAACTCTTTGCCCTCGCAACATGGTACCAGTAGCGGCATCTCTTCCTTCAGTTTCGGTGTGGTCAGCTCGGTGGCCACATTGTCACCACTGGCCACCGGGTTCATCAGTCGTAGAGACGAGTCCGAAGACCGCTTCTCTTTTATCTCTATATTGTGGGTAGAGAGGTTCCTCGTGGACAGGTTGACGCTCATGTTTCCGATGTTATTTATTAATGGTTTCTGTTCGTGTAGCAACTGCATACCGGATATTAGGTGTTTGTTGGGTTATTTTATGGGTTGGGTTTGTGGAAATAACTTTGCGACGTTCAGAACATTTTTCACCTTTCCATATTTGAAAAATAATGACAGATGTCGTGAAAAATTTTTCGGTTGAGGAAATTTTTTTTTAATCGTAAATGTATTTTAATTAAATAGTTTCGATACGAATCTAAAGAGGTAGAGTTTATAAGGTAACTATTATTTTATGAATTTAATTTCTCTTTTAATACATTATACAAAATTTATAATGTTTGCAATGTAATGTCTTTATTTAACGCGCGTTAAATTCAATTAAAAAAAATCAATACACTCGCCCTTATAAGAAGGGTATAACGGACATTAATCACGTAGAACCACTCAAAAAATAATGGCCATAATGTGAAAAAAGGGCATATTGAAGAAAAGGGAGTTAAGTGTCCCGTAAACTCCTTCGATCACCAATATAAAATTTTCTCGATCAATCCATATAAAACCAAATATAGTCTATCAATTTGTAATGTTTTTTTCGTCCACAGATAATTATATCTGTTCTTATTAAACTGAAATGTGTAATGTAGTAAAATATTAATTTATAACCTAATTTACTCGTCACCCAACCTGTCGCAAACACGAAACCACAAAAGGTAACGTATGAAAAAATAAACCATGTAATTTATCAAAACATTTATTTTAAACCAACAAATGAAGACGTAAAATTTTATAAAATCAAAAGTTCGTAAAAATTATCATTAAAAAACAATCTCAAAACAAGCTTTAAATTAATCAACATCAGAAATAAAAATGTTAGCCATCAAAATTAACTTTTGACTAAATTATAATTAACAAAGTATTTTGGAGCTTTGTTTTAAATCACATAGAAAACATCCGTTAAATTTCCTGTGATTTTTTATTTCATGAAAACATAACGAAGATGTAAAGTAAAAAATATCAAACTTGAAACATAAATCATAAAGTTAAATCTAAGATCTCGTTTTTAATCTAAAATTTGATTTTTCAATTTAGTCGAATAACATCGTCATAAAACTTAAATTACCTATAATAAAGTTCTAGGACTTCCAAAGACTTTGACCGATGAATATACTATCAATTTTGCTTCACTTTCTCTGGAACGTAGAAGTCACCTTCAGACTGTGTACTGATCTTCTTCTGCAAAAAGAGATTAAACAAACATATAATTCTAAATTACAATAGTTAAATAAATAAATAAATGAATAAATAAAAAAATACAACCACTGAACTAATTAATCATGAAAAAACTGCAGTGCAAAGATAATTATTCTTGCGATTGATTTAATATGAATGAAGTGTCGAAGGAATCTATATTTTTCATTTTAACCTCGCATTTTTCAACCACTTCTAAAATACAAATCCGACATCTTTATAGTTCAAAATCTTGATGAATCCTGTAACTTGTTTCTTTGCTTTCTATGATAGCATTAAATAGACTATAGTATTGAGTTTGAAAATTGTTACCTTCTCCTCCTTCATCTCAGCATTTAATGTTCTGAGTACGCGACTTGCGAGGTACTCGGAGGTGTGGCGCACCTCCACAGCGTCCACGTGCACGCGGTTGTCCACCACAGCCTCCGTCATCCCTTCCACTGCCTCACCCCATTCCACTAGTAAATAGAAAATAAAGGTTGTCGATTTACATTTCGAGATCTTCTCTCTCTCGATCTCGAGGACCAAAACAATGGACGTGACAGACGTTGTTGAGATCACTCTCTAATATACTTTGCACCTTTGTTCGCGACGTGAATTATACTCAAGACTTGCCTACTCCGCTACTTCTTACTTACTTCTACTGTTTTCTATATTTTTATTCTTCTATACTAACTTCTTGCAGTTATTGTAGCTTCTATGGAACATACGAAAATCAAGACTTGAACTATCATCTTCCTTAACAATTCAAACACAGTAGTTTTCTATCCTAGTTGTGTTACTTGTTAAAAATAATATAAAATGATACAAACTGGCTTGTCTTAGTCGAGGCAGTGTAACCTTGCCGAGTGTAACGTCCATGCCTTTAGTAACTTTCTGACTAACAGACCGAGTCAATAACTTGGCTCCAATGTTGATCATCTGGAATAAGACGAAACATAAATGGAATTATAATCTACGTTTAGTATCGTTTCTGTCTGTTTGATATTCTACTGACCTCAAGAATCTTTCTTCTTTCAGGTAAGAAGCTTGGCACAGAGACCGGATTCGGTAGATCTTCTAATCTATCTAAGAATGTCACTTCTGCTAATTTCGTTTTTGATGGCTAGAAATGACACAAATAGGAGAAGTTGCACACAATTAAGTTAAAAATTAATAAACTAGCTTTCGCTCGCGACTCCGTTCGCGTGGAATTAAAGTAAAAAGAAAAGAAAGTAGCCTGTGTTCTTCTAGACTATGCTCTACATCTGTGCTAAATTTCATCGAGATCCGTTTAGCCGTTTAGGCTACACATTATAACAAAGATCCATTATCTTTCCATCCAAACTTTGGCATTTATAATATTAGTTAGTAGTAAGATAAACATACGACAGGCGTTGGTGGTCGATCTTTAATACTCTTCATCTCTACTTCTGCCTCGAAATCATTGGAAATGGTTTCCACGTTGCCAAAGTCCAGGGAGGTGTGGCGATGGCCGGCTGACTGGACAGTTGCCATCTGAGCTGCGACTTGCACTGCCCAGCGAGGCTTCTTCGGCACGCTGTGCTCAAGGAGAGCAGGACATTTACATAGTGAAATCGGTGTTATTGTTATTAGGAGTGATAACTATGTATTAAATTTGAGTTTTTACATTATTGTTTGGGTTTGCTGAATATGTAAGTCATTACTGCTCGTGAGTGTGTGCTTGCGAAGTGATGATTTTGATATATTTAATTAATCAATGGTAAACGTACAATTGTTTCTTCCCAGACGGACGAATGTTTGAGAAGAATATGTTGGCCGCTTTCGTGTGCACCAAATTCTCCACTCCTCGCAGCATCACATGTACGCGCTGTCTTGTAAACTCCATCACAACTGACTCTATCACCTGAAATTGCGATTAAGATATAGTTATCACCCTCATTTAAAAAAGTAGAGACAACAATGTATCTCTTAAGCTTACTTCTTCCAGTAGCTTCAATGGTGGCGATGGTAGGACAGTGGCGACATCCATCATAGTACGAGCTTGTCCTAAAGTCACGAGCGGGTCTCCCTGCGTCGACACCGCGCTTGTCATCGCTTCTATCGCTAGCGATTGTGCTAACTCTGGACTCATGCCTTTAGCTCCGCGCTTTGACTGTAAACAATGTAAGTTAATTAAAGTTTGTAGCATCTACTTGATGCTTCCCATTTTTTCCATCTATTTTAATTCAATTTATTTCAGACAAGGATGGCATTTATATATGCATCAATTTAATACACATGCACAAATCGGCAAAGACATTCAAAGATATGTGTGAAGTCCCGCAGTGGACCAGTGTGGTTGACTAAGGCCTAGTCACCCCTTACTTAGGATAGGCTTCGTACCCCCTTAGCGGAAAGAATAGTGAGCTGGTGATTATGATGAATTTCATAATAAGCATTAAAATGGAGTTCAATTGTTTGTATAATATCGTTTACTGATGGATATTTTACGGTTACTTTAATTATTGGACAAGCCAAGGATCGCTTAGTGCCTTGTATTAAACGTATATTTGATTGTTATAACAAAGAAGTTACCTTTTCAAACTCAACGCCCATCTTCTTAACAAGTTTGGCTGCCTTCACGTCTCCGCCATGCAGTAACTTCCAGTTTGCTAATCTGATACGCTGCAGCTCTAAGTCGGTGTTGTATGCGTAAACTTCCGCTTTCCTACGATGCAAGTATTCATTATTTCCTCTACCTTATTATACTCCCATAAGGTCGGCGCACCGAGTTTTCGTCCTCCACATAACTCTATCATTCGTCATCACTCATCATAATGTCATATTTTACGCAATCCATCCCTTTCTAGGTCTACCTCTACCAGTGTACCTCCACATTCATAACTAACGTCCTTCTTGTTACATGCGATTCATCACCTCATAACATGACCATACCATACTAACCTTTTACTCCTTAATTTCTCAACCACTGGGGCTACTCTCAAACTAACTTCAACGAATGCAAGTATTACTGTCAGTAGAAAAGTCAATTTTGTTTTGTAATGAATTGTCAAAATTGATTAAATCGATTAGTGTAATTTACGTGTATCTGCGTATTCAAATTTATTTAACTCATGAATATTTTATTTAACTCTGTTATTTAATTTAATGATGACGTAACTGATAAAATAAAACATTTAAAACCATCTTTTGATAGGAGAAACAAAACAAAAATTAGCATTTTTACTCCTGTGTCTTTAGAGTTGGATATCTCGGAACATTAAGTCAGTCTGGTCTATAATAAATTTTAATGGGGACAGCAAGTAAGGATGGTTTGAATCCGAGCCAGCTTTTTTTAGCTTCGTCCACAAAATGATAAAGATTGTTTAGTACTTAGGATTTTGAAGTAAGAAATACATTTAGAGTGTAAAAAATGTGAATGCGCAATATTACTAGCAGATAATCTAAATCTAGACTTGAAGATCAAGGATTAAAGATTCATATAATACTGCAGATATAGACTTTAAACCGCGTAATAAAATATATCATTGTATACTCTGTGCACTTGAACGGTGGTATTCCGTTTCGTGGTTTTAGTGTTCAATTGACGGAAATATTTGTAACACCTCAAGCTATTTGAGTTATCTATTATTTAGATACACAATTTTTTTACGATATCAAGTCTACTATAAATTTCAATCGCCTTTAATTTTTTTATAACTAAAGTTTAAACACTACAAGCAGCAGTTTTGTTAACGCGTAAATTTTAATCATTAACTTACTTGGCTCTCCTCATGGCTCCAGCTTTCATATCTTCGGTGTAGATTTTAAGAAGTAAGGATTCTTCTTGAATTTTAGAATTTTGCGCGTTAATTCGATCCGCCCATTTTCTATTTGCCTAAAAATTAAATCACATTCTTGTTATCGTTTATCATATTCTTATTAAATAGCAAAGAAACTATTTTTTTTAGCTATTACTAAATTATGTACAATATTCACCTACATAGAGATATCTGGAGTAAGTGAGTAAGTCGTAGGATGATTAAAAAAAAGAATCGAAGAGACTAGTAGAGACTTGTGAAAAACCAGCGTTCTAAAGTCCGTAGGTCATTAGGACGCTATGATTCTAATTGTAGATAATTACCTCGTCTTCTAACCGCTTCGTTTTAGCTTCTCGCTCCTGCTTAAGCCTGAACAACCTTTGCCTCTCGTTGGTCCGCCACTGCCGCACCATAGTGATCTTTCTCCTCAGCTCCAGTTCTGCTGCAGCCTGCACCCTCTGTTTGATTCTGTTCTGTTTCTCGTGCGCACGCGCCGCTCTCTCTTTACGTTGCTTCTCGTTGAATTCAGCTAGATACTTCATCCTTTTTTTGATCTTCTTTTCTTGTTCTTTAGCTCTGAAAATAAAATATGTTTTGTTAGATGATTTTTCTTTTTTTGTTTCCGTTTATCTTATTAGGGAATTTACAAAGATATACTGCCACTAACATTAAATGGATAGCTTTTTTATAATTAGAAGATAAGAGCCGAACAAAAAGTTCTTATTAGGCTAGAAAATGTTGTGTCGTATTTATACTTGACACGACAATTTTGTTTTTAAAAGAAAAATTAACAAAACATCGCAAGAAACGTTAATAATTAGGAACAGGATTTTTTTTCCAGAAAGTCTGGCTGAATATTCTGTGTGTTTGAACACGCGAGCAGGCGTTAAGGCAGCGGTCGACGGTTGGCGTTCGGTGCGCTCGGGTGCGTACTTTTAATTAAGACGGCTGCGCTGGTTTCAACTTCTTTTGATTTACGTTTTGCATTCGTGACATCAATTCCTTTTTACAAACTCACCACTCGACATCTCAAAAATTTGGCAGTTAACGACTTTACAGGAGACCAAAAATGTAAAATCCGTGTCATTTTATGCCCATATTTGCACACGTAACTTTCACACTATGTTTCGTTGTAACTCCTGTAATTTCGGAACTGTAAGACTAAATAAGGGTCCTAAGTGTCCTACCACTATCAATTGCTATTTTACCCTAGGTTACTCATGTGACATATACTAAAACACGCTTAAGAAAATAAGATCTATCTCTAGGTTTTTGCAATTGACTTTGATGTTAATATCCTGTACAACAAATTGAAAAATACGTTCACAGTTTAGCTCAGTAAGGTAGGAAAGCTCGCGTGGATGTAAATAGAAATAAAGTACCATTGTAAATCACTCCGCGCGTTTAACGTAAAGCCCGCGTTAACTGCTTCCGTTACGTTTACCTTTGCAAAATTAGATGCACCAAAATACTAAGAAATAGCTGCTTGGTGTCTAAAAGTACTTTTGTGTAACTCAACAACCTTGATGTGCTTTAAATTAGATGAGTTTAGATAGAATTTTACATTATGAAATAAAAAATAAAAAAACGTATTTATTATAATAATCTACTGTTCTTGATAATTATAATCTTACTAGTATTATAAATGTGAAAGTTTGGATGGATGGATATATGTTAGAGTTGTAGCCTAAACTGTTAAATTAATCTCGATGAATTTTGGTACTAATTAAGTATTTTTTAACAAGGTTAGTGTAACAATATCATGGTCAAATTATTTTAAGAAAAGACTTTATTTGAACAAATAAAACTATATAGATTTTATTACAGTTAGAATAGATTGGATGATTTTTGATCGATTTTGACAACAAAAATCCACAGTGAACAGGTTCAAGAAGTTAAAAATTTGCATTGTGCAAGTCATCTGAAATGCATAGAGGACGGCTCGCACCGCGGGGGCTGAGGGCCATCGAACTTATCTAAAGTGAAATTGAACCGAGAGCGTTTGTGTCAAAGTGAATCTTCAAGGCTTTTTCCTGCTATCAACCGTAGTACTGACATATGGTTTAACTGAACAGAATACTGATGCGAATATTTTCACGAACAATAATAAATACATGAATATCCGTCATCGTCAATTTATAATCACTTCTTTTATTGTGTTTTAAAAAATTAACAATATGTTTCTTGTTTCTCTTTTCATTCTTTATTTTTTTTGTACAACTCCTTTTATTCTAATTGTTTCACAAGTAATTAAAAAATTACAGAGGGTCTATAACCAATATTTGATGTTACGAAAATTCTCACGGATATTCATGATAAGTCCTTAAAACGTTAACGTAATATGATAATGTCTTTAAAATGTGTAGCTATTTAAATAGCTTTAATGTTGCAACGTTCATCCTATACAAACATACTAGAAATAGTGAAAATATAATCGATATGTAGTTATTGTTTACTAGCTGTTGCTCGCGACTTTGTCAGCGGAAAAATAAAAAATATAGCCTATGTTACTCGCGTAGGGTTTTAATGGTAAAAAAAAAATTTGAAATCGGCGCCGTAGTTTTTGAGTTATTTTTTTTTTGTATTACAAATCTTTCCTCTTTATAATATTAGTAAAGACTATGTGTATAAAAGGAAAGTAGATTTATTATGTAGGTTTTAACGGATTAAATCCTATAGCATAATAATTTTAATTAAATTTCTCGTCGTCTCGCAAACTTTGCAGTGTTCGTTCGCCGGGGACTGAAATGTTTACTGTCTCGATGTCATAGTTGCTATGCGCTGTTGTGACATATTATTAATTAAAGTAAAATCTCATCACAGAATGAGATGGCAACACTTCCAGATCTTTACACAATGTTACTTCTTACTAATATTATAATATAGTTTAGATGGATGGACGGATGTTTGTTAGAGTTTGTAGCCTAAACGGCTGAACGGATTTCGATGAAATTTGGTATAGATATAGAGGATAGTCTATAAGAACACATAGGCTATTTAGTTATTTTTTCAGTTTCAGAGTCGCGGGCGCAAGCTAGTGTATAAATAATTATTTCGACAATTTCTCCTTTGAATGCAATATAGTCGATACAATTGAACAGTAGTTCCGTTTGAAAGCTCGACAGGCAATTGACTGAGGAGATAAACAAGCCGAACAGTTGACAAACAGAAGCGGCGACTGAATGCAAATATTGAACTAAATAATTTGCACAGCGACGAGCGCAGATGGTCAATTCACGGACAAAGTTTAAATTCATTTTGAATTTCGTTTAGTGTTTTATTTTGTTGAGTCGAATATGTTGATCTCTATTTCATACAGGCTAACGAAACTGAATTATTATAATTACTTTTAGAGTTTAGAAGAACACGCACTTTAATACATTTAAATCATGTCCATTTAAACACATTTTGAATTTCAAGTGACGTCGAATGCATTTGAATAGTGCAAAGTTTATTGCATTCCAGAAAGTTCTTTACTACATTCCACAATGTTCGACAAACTAGGTCATTGTGAACCTTGCTGAGAAATGTTTTGGAAAAGTGGAAAATAAGTTTAAGATAAAAGTAGTCACAAACGTGTTGTGAAGTGGAGAAAAGCATTTTTTTTAAGAAAATCTTACTAATATTATAAATGTAAAATTTAGATGGATGGATGGATGTTTGTTAGAGTTTGTAGACTAAACGACTGAACATATCTGGATGAAATCTCGTATAGATGTTGAATATAGTCTGGAAGAACACGTTGGTTACTTACTTTTTTCTTTATTTTTAGTCTTGGACGGATTCGCGGGCACATCCTAGTTATAAATACATTACAATAACATGGTTTATTTTGATAAAGAAATATCTTGATTATTAGATGATTAAGTGATATGGAAAGTGACAACTTGAATATGGCGTTAATGTCTAAGTACATTACATTAATTCACAGGGTACATTGTCGACGGTTTTCCCTTGAAATTAAATTAAGTTAATTTATCCTCAGAGAGAAATGTACCATGTTAACAAAGTGTAAGCTAAAATCTAGTATTTGTACTCATCGAATGGGTTATGCAAATGCGTCTGTCGAGTTTACGATAACGAGGGGTGGGATCCGAGAGACGGGGCGAAGTGCTCGGGAGCAGCCACGGGGAGCTCGGATGCAAATATCGCTGCAAACAGTTTGAATTGAAAAGCACTAGATAATATTGCATAGAGCGGAAATATAAAGGATAGATGAAAAAGTATTTTGCTTTTTAAATTGAATTTTGTAGTGTATTAAAGAGCTCACTGAATGGTAAATTTGTGTTGACTCATAATAGAGAAATTTTAAGTTGAAATATACATTTAAAATACGTGCATTGTTGAAACTTAAAAAAAATTAAACAACGTCAAAAAAGTTGCCAAACTTGTACAATTGCTACAGCCAAACTTTACTGTTTTAATAATAATTTCTGAACTTGTAAAAGAGTTTTGACATACAGATGTTAACTTTAGACTTCCAGTGTTTGCAAACTGTTTTGGTTTGTAGTTTCTGTGTCAAGTCAACAAGCAATTTGAATTTGTGTTGTTGAGAGCTACGTGACAAACTCTTCAATAATTAGTAAACTTTCATTTGGAGTTTGCACAAATGAAGGACAAAAGTTGTTACGAATTTGGATGTTGAAAGGATAATCTAAAATTATATAACCAATATTACCTTTTCTTATAAGGAGTGGATGCGAAGGGGAAGTGGATTTGACGGTGGAGGAGATGCATAGGAAGGGGAAATATCCTCTTTATGTGCGTCTCCTCCTCCGTCGTATAAGGGTAGGTAACGCATCTGAAATTGCGGATGTCTATGGGCAGCAGTCGCTTCGCCATTTTGGCGGATTCAGGTGGCCGCTTGCTCGTTTGCCACCTTATGTTATAAAAAAAATTCTCTTGTTTTAGTAATTAGTAGTATAAAATAATGTCAAGATGTGATGAAATTATAATAGCTCCTCGACATTTGGGTAACAAAAACTGAAAATTGCGTGAAGTAAATAGAAATAAAGCGTAGTCATTAATCACAGGCAGACCGCTCACGTAGTTTGTAGAGGCCCCTAAGTATGGCTGGAAATTCGTTTAAGCGCCGCCAGTCCCATACTTCAGCAACTAATAAATTTACGTCGACGCGCAACTCAAAAGAGCTACACGGTTGAGAATTTGCATTCAGTTAGCACTAATTAAATCCGCATGCATGCAATGCGATTCTAGTTTTGTTACAAGTACAATAGAAAATCTATTTTATGTTTGAGAGATATTAATTAAATTGTAACCTAGTGTATGTGTTTTTCTAGGATTTTTTTCTTTCTGATCAAGTTCTTGTTTAGATTGTCGTAGTTAGTAATTTTAAGAATTCAGTCAACAAAGGGCCCTTAGTAACCGTCCAATGACTGCGTGCCGCAGTAAGGTAGACATTTAATGATGTTTTACTTACAGCCTTCTCTTCTCCGCCCACTCGTCAGCGTGCTCCTGCGCGATGCGTTCGAGATGTTCCCGTGCGCGCTCCGCCTTAGTGAAGGCTTGCTGCCGCCGCGCCACGTCAGCCTCAACACGCTTCAGCGTTAGATCATCGCGAGCTCGTTCATCCTGATATATTCGAAAACTAACTTACTCTATTACAAATAACGATGTGCCGCTACTATTAATTCACAGAACCATAGTTGATTTTAATTAACACAGTATTATTTAGATTACTATAAGGTATAACCTAGCAACTCACCAATAACATTTTTTCTAATTTCTGTCACATTTTGCAACGAGTTGTAAATCATTAGAATCTCTTTCTTCCTCACGATGGTAAAGACATTGTCAATCACTAGTATATTGTCAAAAGACACGAAGTAAATTTAAATGACCACTGATTGCATGAGAGTCGTGCTTACCAGCTTCTTCATTTCCATATGTATTCTATCCATGAAGCGGTTGTAGAGATACTTTCTGTACTGATTGAATTCTTTAAGCGAGCAAACCGCGCGGCCGTCTTTTGTGCAGAAGCCGAGCTGTTTCATTCTATTCCTTGCTGGCTTCTGTGCAAAATGGTGCGCCAGGTGCGGATCGTGCATCGGCACGTAATCGTAGGACACAGTGTAGCAGTTGGGATCCGAAAGGTCGAAGGTCGGGTGAGGCGCGTCACTACCCAACCCGAGGCGACGGACCTAGAATATAATTTAAGTGTAAGAGCTACCGCAGATGTTTCGAGAGCCATAGATATTAATTGCCATACGTAAATTCTAAATTTGGTGTAAACTTGTTTCAATTATCAATGTAATAAAATTCTAAAAAAAAGTTGTAGGATTGTTGTTGGTATCAAAATACCATTAGAGTTTTCTAAGTTTAGCTAAATAAATATAAAACTATCTGAACTCATGTTAATGTTGGGAGGCGTGTGACGTCATCTCATTACGCATTATTACAAACACCGCGGTTGTGACGCGAATTTAATTTGATACCAGATTACATTCCGATAATTTGATAGGATTGAATGTTATGTGGTAATAATATTGTACAGTATAAATTAAAAATTAAAACTACAAAATCAAGGAACTAAATTAAATAACGTAGCAGTTTTCATAAAATTAGGTGTAGATATTTTCAAATATCCAGACTTAAAAATAGTGACAGAGACGTCAAACACGGAAAGGAGCAACAAGTTGTAAACATTGTCACTGCGCTAAGCTTGTTATTCTTAACGTGAACAGAGAATAGACATCGACAATATACTTAGAAAGTCTTACAAAAACAGTACTTAGTTCGATATAACTATTATCAACGTTACAATGAAAACAATTACACGAATTAAAGGACAAAGGCCGCATTTAGGCTATCGTTTTAGTTGACTAATTTCATTTACAAGACCACTCATTTAATGTAGTAGTTAATTTTGCTTTTTTATTGTTTTAGCAGAAGGGGACATACGTATTAAAAAAACGTCATTTTTACATCATATTTAAGACTTAAATGTAAGATTTTCATCGAGAAATATTCACATCACAATATTTGGCATGGTTATAACGAAGGAACTTTGAGTGTGCGGTGTAAGTGACAAGAGAAAATTGGTTATTACGTTTTGCAAACACCTGTTAACGATGTACCGAGGCACGAGTTCGTTGAAAATCTGCTTTAATACTTTACATAATTAACTTTGGCAGATTATACTAACGTTGAATTATCACTTTGATATAGTAATTGTAGCGAAAGAGTGGTGTATTATCATTCTATGAAAACTAATTTATAAAACATTTATCTTCAGCTTGTATTATTCCCCTGCTGAATATAAGACTCTACCACATAACAGCTACAGAAAACTGAAAGAAAATTGACGTTTTTTATAAGAGTAGGGAGCAAACGAACGGCGGGTACACAGAGGCGATCATAGACGTCCATGGCCATCCGCAATACCCGAACTACAGATACCTTGGCGGCCTTTGAGGAAATGCTATGCTCGCTTCTTAAAGAATCGAATTTTCATATGAAGCATAAATATAGTTCGGCCTACTCCGTTGAGCTTTTTTATATTTTAAAACGTATCTGTCAGAAAGAAGTACACTGCATGCTATTATAACCTAAAAAGATATCGTTATATAAATAACACAATCATATTAATAGAATATCTATATAATAAAATGACGATTATATCATTGAAGGTGCTTTTCGTGGTTAAGAACATCGTGATATCATATTATAAACATGCTCGTTGTAATAAAATAATGTTTATACTTTTCAGAATTACTGTTATCAAAATAGAACAAACAGCAAGTGTCTTTACTTCATCAATTCCTTATAAATTTCAATTTATTAAAAATTCAGTTTATTATTAACAAGGCACTTTAGTATATACAACTTTCATAATAAAGCATAATTTACAAATTAAATTGAGATAAAACATCGTCTGGTACTTTATCACGTCGTCCCATGAATACACTCATGGTCGGAAGTTTTAATTAAAAACGTCATCAGTTTGCGCATTTCCTTAATTTATGAGTGCGTGACGTAACTGTACTCGAATTCTCTAATAATTATGACACGACATAATGAAGGACACACATAAACAGAAAATTTCCGAATAAAAACTTTGAAAATGCCTCTTCTAATCTTCAAGGCAATCTTCTACCCAGTTACAAAAAAAAACAACTTTGTGAATTTATCTTAGGAATTTTAAGATACCTTCTTTACTTTATTTATCTGTACATTTAATAAAATAAAAGTAGGAAAGGTTTGAAAAATCCGTTACAATTGAATATATGCAGATTTATATATCACCGAAAAAATTGTATCCATTCTAAAAAAAATCTTGAAGCGACGCTGACAATAGTCGAGCGGCAGGATTCGAACCCACGAGCGCTAGAATTGTATCCTTAACCAATGGGTTATTGGCACCTCCGTAGCAGTTTTAATGGAAATCAGATCTAAATACAAATTTCCATACTGGAAGTTTCGTAGAAGTAATTACTATCCGAAAATTTATAATTAAGATTACAAATGGTGATATCTAGCTTCTTGTAACGCAAAGGAATATTGTCAAAGCAAATATTCTGTTAATTGCCTCATTTAAACTTCAAAAACAGCATCCAAACAACGCACCATTAACTTGTCGGCTAAAACAATTGCGTTAATTAACACTAAAAGCTCCATAAATGTATTAAAACGAACCTTTTTGCTTATCCATCAATGTTAATTATTTATGTAGTAAGATTATAAAGCAAAATGTAATCATACTTGTATTTTGTTTTATTTATTTGGGCGCCATAATTTACATATTATAATAATTTCGGATTAACTAGAAACCTATTTTTGTTTTTACTTGGTGTTAATCATACTATACTAATATTATAAATGTGAAAGTTTGGATGGATGGATAGATGGATGGATGGATGTTTGTTGGAGTTTGTAGCCTAAACGGCTGAACGGATCTAGATGAAATTTGGTATAGATGTAAAGGATAGTCTGGAAGACCACATAGGCTACTTTCTTTTGTTTTTATTAACACCACGCGGACGGAGTCGCGGGCGGAAGGTAGTATGTTAATATTGAATAGACGATTGAAAGTAGAAATATAAGTCACAAATTTTGAAGACCTAAACTGGAACATCGATACAAACAACTTTGAATTTTTTCTTTCTTTTAGCAAAGATTTGTGTAATTCAATATTTCTTCTACCTTAGACAAGCAGTGATTTCGATCAAAATCTCGTTTCAAATTCTTATAACCATTAAACTTGACATGCTTTCAAAGTGGCACCCGGCCGTCAGTTCGATGCTGTAGATGTAAAAAGTAGGTCAATAAAATGACGTTCAGGGTATGACACCCTCAGGGTAAAGTGTGCCTTTTGATGTTTTATGGAGAATATTTAGTAGCCAGGTAGGTGATTGATTTTGTAGAATGTAAAGATTAGTTCTAGTCATGTGTAAGTGAAGTGAAATTGATGAACTACAGATCAGTTCACGGTTCACATTTATGAAGCAGATCACTGAACCGGCACGCAGCTCAATTCGATTTTTACCTGCATAGAGTTAGTTATGATTTGCGTTCAAGCTGCGAACTGTGAGTCATCAGTCAGCTTGCAGCTCGTCGGCTGACATAGTTATAGTACATCACATTGAGCCGTAAGCTGATATTAACTTGTTGAGCTTCAGCTCAAAGGCTCATGTCTATGTTAACTGAATTTTTGAACCTGTTCAGATTTATACACGTTTATTAGTGCAACCAGTAAACTTAATTTCGCATTCACTTGGACCTTTATAGAATAGTTATCGCTTTGCTATCTTTTTTCTGTATACTATAGGCATCAGGAAATAATCGTAGGATACTTACAAAACAAACAAACGGCAAGAAAAGTCATCAAGTCGTAATGTAATAGAATTTTTGATGAGATGTGACGTCGCCTATCAAGAAATAGATTGTTTGAGATAAATTAAATGACTTTCATTCGTCGAAAGTAAAGTGCCTACCTTATTATTGAGCGACTGAAATAAAGGGCAAATTGCGAATCGAGACGCTTCCTGATGAATATAACGCTGAAGTAAATTGAAATCGTTTAAGTCGTAAATTTAACCGAGACTTTAAAGTACTGCTTTAAAATTCGGTTGGAGTTCCCCGATGCCTATGCTAGTAAAAATTGCCTTTAAATTTCCTTTAAAAGTGACAGTTTAAAGTATGTACATACATTTTATGCGTTATTCTACGTCTACTCAGGAGAGTAGGAAGGATGTCATCTCAGTGGTTGTAAATAAATTGACATTCTATTCAAAAGACACATCGCCATTGGACAAAACGATTCGCATGAAAGCATGAGTATAGACACAATAAACCCTTGCTGTTTTGTTTGAGTCTAGTCTGAACTAAAGCGGGCGCAAATGAAAAAAAAACTGGAATCTTTTAGATTGTTCTCATACCATTCAATGTGAACCACAACAGAAAGCTTTAACCTTTAGACCAGCGACGCAAACAAGCGTTGGGGCTTTACTGACCCCAAACAATTTAACTGGATAGCACGTGTGCTAGGGTTGAAGCGATGCGGGAGCGGGACTATGGATTTATCGCGCGAAAGCCTCCGTACCGCCCCATTCAACGCTTGAATACGACGCATTAGCATAATGAAAGCTTGGTCTTCTTAAAAAGGATTTCAAACACCCTCACGGCCGAGATTCGGTTGAAATGTGGCGTGAATTTGTCTGCGAATATTTAAATATTATATTCCCGTTTATCTACGTTGCGCGGTAAAGGAAAATAAATGTGTGGTTTAGTTGTAAATTTGATGTATTGTGGAAATGTTAGATAAATTTATACAGTTATTTTTGCATATATTTCTCAAATTTTTGATATAGTTTAAAACTGTACGAGGAACATTAAATACATTTAATACAATGCACATTTTTATTTTGATTACGATGATTAGACAATACATATCTCGTAGTCATCTATGTATAATAGTATGAAGTCATCTGGAGTAGAACTCTTATCTATAAGTGTTTGTTTGCTTGCTTAGCTGTGTGCTATTGAGGGATTAACTGCTTTACCGTTGACCTACTATTGAAAACAATGATAAGATTTTTATAAATTAAAGCATGTATAGTCTGCCATAAAAATGCAGACACCGAACATATTGCCTGGATGTATAAGACAGGAACGCCTTTTATTCAATTGTGGTTTTTTAATATTCTACTTTTTAACGTACCTTTTGAGTACTCTACTTAACGGTGTAAACTTAATGTTGGGGAAGAGTTTAGGTTAATTTATGAGATAACTTAGAGTCGCGTCTTGTTAACACGTCTACGCTCTTTAATATCTTAATTTGCATACATCATATATTAACTTCGTGAAATTTACTACCTTGTATTTTTTTTTCAAAAATAATTTGAGGTATAATTGGATTCAGCACTTTCATTTTAATCTTAACTATATAAAGCTATTTAAGTATCGGAATGCATCTTATTTAGTAGCAATGAAATAACTAAAGGCCTTCATTGCCTTACATAACTTAAAAGTGTATTAGATACGAGAATTAAGATTTTAAAATGTATGTATCTCCATTTTATTGGCAATAGAAGTATTGTTTACGCAGAGTAAAATATTATATTTTATTTGAGCACATGTTCTTTGATAGAAACATCGCTTTGAACTTTCAATACTGCAGATGGATTTACTATTGTGTCCAGCGTGTCTTTTGAAGACCTGATGCTATTATGGAACTCTTCATTCTAAGATAGGATAAGGTAGAACTATAGCTGTAATGATATATTCTATGTGTTCGATATTATTAATTTAAAATGTATTTTTGATCAAAGTTCTTTAAAAAATGTTTTGAGAATTTAAACTTTTAAACAATAAAGGCGTTATTGGTTTTTATAGGAATAAATAACCCTTAAATTGATAAGATTACTTTGTCGAAGAAAAGCAAAAACCAATGTATATAGTTAAGATAAATTTAGTAAGTTAAAAATTACAGTGTACATTTTTTAGTTATATGGTATACAAGATGTACATAAGGTTTAAAATTATAGTTTTCAGTACCATGATATAATCGGTCAAGTAATCCTTGAATAATTTGTATTTAAAATTCATCTCCTGTAACTAAGAGAGGTAAACTACTAATTTAAATTAAAGGACGCTTAACGAGGGCTGAATAATAAATTGCAATGATATTATACATTTTTTTTTTCACTTTCTAGGGGTAAAAACTCCTGGAATTAGAAGTTATATTTAACATTGCAGTTGTCAAATAAAATACATCAATTTACATTTTTTATCTGTACTCTGTACTACTGATTTGCATTTTGGATTTTTGTATGTATTGAAATAACTTAAAAACTACAGGATATCAAAAATTTAATCGCCGTTAAAAAGCTACTTTTTAATTTTACCCGGTCGAAGTCGCGAGTAACAGCTAGTAGTAAAATATAATGAGAAATATTGTATTTATATTCCAAAATAATATTATTCAAAAATGTGCCTGAATGTTAAATTTACAAAAGTACTTACATCTTCACCGATTTTCCCGCGCGAAAACACAACTTTTCCGAGCGGCATTTTCGGCATGGGTAGTTTGGACTCGAGCCCCAGTCGGAACCACATCGGCAAACCATTTTTGGGGACTGCACTAACAGGCTTGGGTACTGATTCTATAACTTTTTTCAAATCAGTCGGTTTTCGTAGCATCATCAATGCTATATTAACTTCCGATGAATTATCGGCCGCGAATTCCGAGGTCTTAACCGACGACATCTTTTTAATGTTTTATGTAAAATTTATATAAAAATAACCTAAAAATAATTGGAACAAAGCGCGCTTTGACTTTACACAGAAATACTGAAATTTCACATTTTGTACGTGACGTTCGTATTCAGACGTCCGGTTGGCGTTGATTGCTTTTTAATTGCGATTCAAAATGGCCAGTGCGAAATGTAAAGTTCACGTTCCTGCAGTTTATATTACACAGGATTGTTTGTTCATGAATTTGTAGTGAACCGTGATATTTTTTTTTATTTAAAATTCTAACTTATTCATTGTACTGGTAAATATCGCATGTTCACAATTTCCGTTATGCTTAACTAAACAATAGATGGCGCTGTCACAACACAATCTCTATAGATCGCGGTATTGAGTTCTTATAACTATTTATTGCGCGTTTTCTAAAAAAAAGGCTTCAATATTAAAATATGTCAATATATCGGAATATGGTATAAAAATAGAGGTACATTTTCATATAACTAATAAAATAAGCTTACCTCTAACCTCAAATAGAATAGGAAACCGGTTATATTTTTAATAACGCAAACCCGAGCAATATTCAATATTCCCTCGCATCGGCAGGATCTCAATAACATAGCAATAGGATTCCACTTCCACACTCACCTCCAATTGGGTTAGCCACATTCAGATATAACTTTACGAAGTTCTATAACTTGCTACTATTGACTATTGAATTTTTTATCAAGTGAAAATATGTTCAAACAAGATGGCATAAATTGTACATGTTACTTTTGATATGAAGTTATATTATTTTTTAACTAGTTATTGCTTGCGACTTTTTCCACGTGAAATTAAAAAAAAGCCTATATTTCTCACTGATAATGATAGCTATTTAATGGCGTAAGAATTATTGAATTTGAGCCAGTAGTTTTTGAGTTATTTCAATACATACAACAAATACAAGTCTTACCTCTTTATAACGTTAGTATAGATAAGAAAATTAGGTATAAACATAGCTAAATTTTGTTATGTGTGTATAATTATTCAACATGTTAAGTATATTTGTGGCTGAATAAGCGAGTATTCGAATAACAATATTATAAATATTAATATTTCCTACTATCATGTTTTGCTTACGTATATAGCTATGCTAATTTCTTTAAAAATTGCCTTTTAATCAAAATACAACAGAAACAAGTAATTTATTTAATAAAATTAAAAAGGTTAGGAAATAAACGGATCTAAAAACTAATGAATAACATAAGTACAATATTATTAAAGTAAGTAATATTTTAGGTGTATGTTAATTGCATTTATCATGCATTCAATTTATTGATACACTAGCTTTCGTTCGCGACTCCGTCCGCTTGGAATTTTAAACAAAAGTAAGTAGCTTATGTATTCTTCGATTATACTCTACATCTATGCCAAATATCATCGAGATCCATCCAGACGTTTAGGTTGTACACTCTAACAAACATCCATCCATCTAAACTTTCGCATTTATAATATTAGTAAGATATAAAAAGATTATTTACTAAGTTGTTAACGTTTAAGGAAACGTTTACGAAAACGAACTTATGTGTAAGGAAAGTTACTATAAAATGATTTTGTATACGCCATTGTTCGAAATACTTAAAATTCATGAAAGAAACACTTCGCGTTAAATAATGCAGTTAGCGCGGCAACAAGATGGGCAAGTTACACGAAGTTACAGATTTTCTAAGTTATGTATATAATCACATTTTCAATTGAAATGAGTCGAAGATTCAAAAATATATAACTTAATACAATCTTTTACGTAACATTGAATAATAGAATAAACAACTATGTTTCGATAAAGTAAACTTAACTACGCTGTGATGTCGCTCCGATATTAATTATTAGGATAGTAAATATTTTTAGCAAACATTGAGCGGGAAAACACATCATTAAACTTCGCTTAACTTTTGGAATTCCCCGCTTCGCTGTTAATTTTGGAACATAAATAATAAACGAAACTAAATGCGAGCTTGTGTTTGAAATGATCTGTACATTGTACAATAATGTTGAACATTTTTTCGAAAATGTAGATATATCTACTAATATTTAAATTCAGGGATTATAAACTTTATACGCTGAAATATGTTGTTTGTCTTTGACTTGCTCTTTGACAGATTACGTTTTGCTCGGAGCAAATCTGCCATATCAGTTATGCAGGTGCACTCTAGACGCATTCGGTTCCTGTTTTCAGTCGCCGAGTGACTCCTGCAAGGGTGACGTCGCGGTAATAAAATGTCAGAGCGCGGTTTGTGTAGAAATTGCGCAGAGAGGCGGCGCGGTCGCGGCCGTGGTGACGAGCGAGCCGTATAGCGTCAGACGAGTCCGTACGCCCGCGCGCACCACGCGTCCCGCGAGCCCGCCCGCTCTCGCACTCGCCCGCCGCTCGCCCCGTGTGTGTGTATCACTGAAAAACTACTCTACGCATATCAAACTGCATCAATACATATCTTAACAAAGTTTGTGACTGCTCGCCTACTGGATCACAGGTTAAAACACAACAGAGAGGGCGCGCAAAGTTTTTATCAAACTTTCCGTTCATACATGTCGCACTGCGCGTATTATAAACAAATCGAATGCGTTCGATGTTTATTACATTTGTTTTGTAAAAGGTTGAGTTTGTTGAACTTACTTTTGGCCGCACGCGGCTTCGTGGTGACGTCAAATGCAACGCTAACTAGATTAGATACGTTAAGCCAGCTCTGTAAACGTACCAGTAGGAGTGCTCAGAGCGCGGAGGACGTTGTATGCAAATAACTAGTTTTAGTCCTAGTTTTCATTCATAAAAGTAAGATACAAAAGTCCTGAACGGAGAATCGAAGCGGTGTTATCGGTAGCGTACCACTTTCGACGACGTTTTATAAACACGAGTTTTATTTATAGACAAGTCCTGAACACATTCAGTCTCGCCTCTGTTGATATATTTTGTGTATTAATTATTACTTTTATAAATTTTAACGCATGAAAACAAAAGTCATTTAGTCACAGTTTAGCAGAGTACTTACTTCATTGTAATTTCATTTAACAAGTTTGCGACAAAATAATTTGCAGGTAGCAATAAAAATGAATCGTGATTATGAATACAGGACATCTGTTTAACTTGTTGACGTTACTGGCGTCGGTAATAACACGATGATTGTATAATAAACTACTTGGAGATATTTCCCTTAGCGCAATATGCATTATAATTCACGTATCTATTCTTGTAATGTTGCGTTTAACGTAAATGATACATGTTTAAAATGTTCCGACCAATTTAGACACTGAGGGACCGGAAACTTCGAGTTATAGAAAGTTGAATGTATATTTATTGAAACAAATAGTCTTATGCCAACTATTTAGTTCCGGACGTTAACATTCTTAGTTAACATTCAGTTCGCCTGGGACGGTTATGGGCTCAATGTCACGTTTATCGACTTAGCTACATTGCCAAGGGATTCAAATTCGGTGAAATACTTAAGATTGTAGACTCTTCAAAGGTAGAGACCTGTATCTTTTTTGGAGAGTTCTCTCTTCTTTCTATCTCTTGTTATGGTCTCTGGAATACATATCGTATGCGATTTATTGCCGATCATTTCGTTTCGAACTCAGCTTAACAAAATAACAATATAATACAACACGCATTCATGATAAGGTAGCGATAACTTCGTCCGGGCGTTGTCGATTTTATGTTCGACGAGCCGTTTACACTGACGAAACGTGTATACAAAAACATATCGCCGTCTCTTCTATTCTTTCTGATAAGAAAGAGAACAATATTTTTGTACGGAATTGTTTGGAATGGAAGCCCACGGTAATAAAGTGCCCTTTACATTGTGTAATTTTTAATCCCGCTTTTATGTTTGACCTTTTATACTTTTGAACTCGTTTTAATTTAATTTTTGTAATAAATTTTATTCATATTGTCGTCGTTGTCACATCCGGATTTTTTATAACAATTACAAGAATCGTTAGCACTTTCGAATCCATTTAAGTTATAGAATATTTTTTCACGCATTTTAATATTATTTTTTATTTATTTATTTCACGAACATGCTTTATTATTCACCCGGTTTTGTTTTCCAGTAGATTTTATAATTTTATTATTTCCATGAGTACAGCCCTGTCCTATTTATGTATGTAATCATACAATTGACTTTTTAAAGTGGTATTTAAACATTGTGTGGATGGTGTAACATCTAATAACACTTTATTGGAGTATGTACTTCGAGTATGTCTGTTAAATTAGATTCCGATGAAGACAAAGCAATGCAATATAATTATTTATCGTAAACATGTTTTAAACATCGTTTTAAGTAGCATTTAGTTCCCATTAGCATGCATTTTATGTCAATAGATTTTCTAACAATCTATACTTATGTTATAAACTAGCTGTTCCCGTGCGACTTCATCCGCGTGAAATTATGAAAATTTTATTTTTTTGTTTAAATTTGTCAAATTATCAATTACAAATGTCAAAATGACATTACATGACGACAACGTTGCTTCCTTGATGTTGGCAGCAACTTGTGGTCCCTTTCTCACATTAATGTTTTTACCAAAAAAGAATACCCCTTAAGTTTAATAGCGTTAAAATATATAGCCTAAAGCGTGGCGTAAGTGTGCGGTTTATTATTAAATAAAGAATTATTCAAAAACATGCTGTAATTGCTGACATCTTAGGCAACAAAGAAGTGTGTGTTTACGCTTTAATATAATAGTATAGATAGGAAAGATCTATAGAATCTGAGAAAGAGATCTGTGGCTAGATTTATTAAAAAAAATGTTTCCGCGCGAAACGAAGACGCGAGCAACAGCCAGTGTTACATAATATAGTTACTATTAGTATTATTGTGTGGTTACAACTATAAATAAACTAAGGATAAAAATGAATGACAGCTGTTATCATATAACAGTACTTGTTTCCTTATTTTTACAATTTTTTTTTATTATTAACAGAAAATAAATGCAGATTTTAAATATTCAACTACATAAGTAAAACTCGAAAGTCCAGTTAATAGACATGAGTGACTCTTCTTCCGAAACATTTGTACTTATTGTTAGTACATTAAGTCTGGCTGCAAATTGCTGCCGTTGTCGCGATCACACGTGTCGTTGCCCGTCTGCGTCCGCGTCGGCCGTGGCTTCCAATACATATCAATTGGGTGTCATTTGTCTGTCCGCGATATCAAGATTGCTTCAGTATCGTTCGACTGTTATTCCATATTTATATAGTTATGTCGTTGCGACTATTTCGGAGAAATTATGGCGCATTTTGAACTGCGGCTGTTATTGTCAATATTGAGTTGAATAGAATGGTAGCTTTCAAAACAAATACCGTACAGAGATTAAAATAAATAACGTAATACTTTTAACCAATAGATGACATAATAATATAAGATTAATTAGCAGTTAAATTTTTTATTAATTAAGATTTAATTTACATTGGCGATAAGATGACAGTATTTGAAACCAGAGTGGATCGCCAGTTGAATTAATCTACAGATTACAAAGTAACTACACTACTGTAGTTGTTCCCACTTCAGTGGTAGAAGCTTTCAAGTAAACAAACGTATTGTACATAATAAACCACTCAATATCCAGCGAATAGAAATAACTAACTTTCAAAGAAGTTTCACAATGTAGACCGCTTTCCATTTGTATCGCCATCTGTTGGAGGTTTTTTCAAAAGTTTTTTCCCCTCGACTTTTTTGTTCGTTTAGGGTCGAGCCTGATAATGCGTGTTCGGACCTTTGTCACATTAGGAACGTAATAAAAAGTAGCAACTAGTTTATTCTTTTTATGTTTCGGGATGGTGTAAATCTTTACTTTTAGATACATGTAATGATATACAAAAATATTTTTCTGAAAAAACAAAAATGAAAATACATTTCGAAGTTTTTGCTCGCACTTTGTGCTAATTTTCCGAACAATCTTAGTTCTTCTATAATAAATCATTTTGAATACTGTCTGTCATTACATTAATTACAAAGTAGTATTATTAAGGCAGGTTATACCATAGAAGTCGATAATTTCTTTGCTGCAGTTAACTTACTCTACATTTTATTGCATGCATTTCTTTTGAATGCTGACTCAGCGCGACTTACCCACGATATCCAAGCATTAATATAGTTTTTATTGTACAAATGATATTCTAATACATCTTGTAAATACCTAAAAATGATTCTTTAAAATCGTTAGTTTTTAAACTTCGAATAATTGGCAAAAAAAAAAAACGAATACGTTAATTTTTTTGTGTTTAAATCATTAGCAATCAGATTTTGAAACAAAAGATTACGTTATGTCGAACTTTAGTTTGCTAAATTGTATTATTACTCGCATTTACTCGTGACGTCTCTAAAAGATTCACACTACACAAACTATCTTAAACAACACGTTTCATTCAAATTACACATATGTTCTAGTTAACTATGTTTCAATATCGACATTGTGGCAATAACTAAAAACTTAGTGTTATAATCTTGTGTTCATTTAGACATATCTATGTACCATATCAATAAGTGTTAAGTGTGTGAATTTGATTGAGTACGATTTGAGTGAAAATGTCCGAGCGCTTCAAGGTGACGAAGTTTGACGAGCCCTCGGGGAAGACGTATAAGAACTATGGAGCAACGTCGGCGGAAAGCGACGTTGAACTAAAGGGAAAACTTCTGCAAGACTCAGGTGAGTTTATCAAACGATCTTATGGTGTGTCTATATTACATCTGTATTCCAATAATATTGACATTCCTTTCATCGTCTTTGGGAAAAGAGAGATAACTCCAGGAACAGTTTAAATTTTCTGATATTTCAATACAATCCTTGTTGAATTGAATTTCGATTTTATTTTATTGTAAAAGAGTGATTCGATTTGTCTGCATCGAATGTCAAAGGCAGTTTCGTTTTGACAAAATGTTTATTTCGATATTTTCCGTATCTAATATTTTAAATAGAAAGTATTAATCGATTTTTAAGTTGAAAGAGTTTATAAAACAAAAAATACTTTAGTCGAAAGTTAGTAGAGGACATTTTTCGATGTCTATTGTTTATATGGTAGAAACTAAATAATTTCTCGTTCTACAGTAACAACACCGTCATTGTACGTATCCCCAACATACATGTAGATAGATATCGTATGGTCCAATTGCGGAGGGTTGAACCCTCTCAATAAGTCTATTGTGACTACTAAGCGGATAAAGTGGGGGAGAATTTGATTCTAGTAAACCTTGACCTCGCTGTATTATTTTGCATGTGTATACAACGTCGAGAAACTAAAGATATGGTTAGATAGAGATCAGCTAACTTTTTAAAGACTAAATACTTTTACGCTTTATTGAAAAACTCTGTTCAAAATATTTAGTTTGCGTGTTTCAACATTTTTGTTGTACAGTAAAGAATGAAGGGTTACGGGGAATATGTACATATCAAAATGTTTTTTAACTGTATAACGATCTTTACTTAATATAAGTTACAATTATATCAACTAAAAAGAATACATTTAATTTGTAGTTTAAGTTCGGAGTTGAAATTATATACTAATAAAGAGAAAAGTTTTGATTGTTCGTTCATTTGTGAAAATGTTCCGAAACTACTGGACCAATTTCAAAAGTTCTTTCGACATATGAAAACTACATTATTACTAAGTAACATACATTTTACATCAACGGAAAGAGTATGGAAACGACAGAAAAGAAGTACGTATATTTGTTACTAGTCGCCCTAATGATCGCCAAACTTCGGAAGAAGGTGGCACTTTAAGAAGAAGATATTTGTTACTACACAGATGAAGCAGGGGCGGATCGCTAGTATATTGTGATACTATACGATTTGGTACTCTTTAAGTTACAAGGCAACCTTGCTGTTAAGTAACCTGTCGTTTATGTTAAAACATTAAAACCGGCACTTTTTAAACAATAGTTCTATACATAATTGTTAACTTAAACCCTAAAAATGTGCACATAAAAAAATTTACAGCAATAAGAGATCACGTATTTTTACTACGAGCTACAAAATATGTTAACTGTATGTTTGTTTAGAAATATATCGTATTGTGTTGTTTTGTACACTTTGTTTTATGTATTAGGGTATACAAGATGCGCTATAAGAAATACTTACGTATGCTAAAAGTTTTATGAAGTTTTGCAACAAGTAATTTTGTATAACTTTTAAACAGAGACAGTTAAAATGAACACATAGTAAGAAATACATAAACAATGTTTTAAGCAATTAAACTCTAATTATTGGGTCCATTAAAAACATTCTTTACTATTAGAAACCTACTTTTTATATCATAAGGTGGCAAACGAGCAAGCGGCCACCTGGATCCGCTGAAATGGCGAAGCGACCGCTGACCATAGGAATTCGCAATAACATATGCGTTGCCTACCTTTAATCGACGAAGGAGGAGATGTACATAAACACGATATTTCCCTTTCCTATGAGTCTCCTCTACCGTCAAATCTGCGTTCCCTTTCAATCCTTTTTATAAGAAAAGGGGTGGGAAGGAATAGGGACTTGAGTTGGGCCTCCGGCTATATTACCACTGAGCAATATAAGCTTATATTATACTGTTATTGCTTTTTTTTAATTCCGCGGGGACCAAATTGTGAGCAAATAACATTAGTAAAATAGAATAAATTTCATATAGGTAAAAGGACACTTTAGCTTAGAGTTAACGAATGTTGCATTACACACTCGCCAAACTCGATATTAACAAATTTTGAAATATCATGGCCAAATGGATACTGCAAATTGGTTAAGTAATAATTACGTATCAACCTCTTTTAATACTTGTGTAACTACGGTATTTAAAAATACTAGCGTAAGTTCAAGATTGCAATATTTCGGCATCAAAAAGCAAAGGTTCCAAAAAGTTTAAATACCTTTACTACATTTTTTAAAGGTATTTTAATCAAAATGTCGTATTTCACAACCTAATCTGACTGAAAATGGCTCAAGTTGTAACATTTCTTATTAACACACGTAGAGTTAAGTACTTTCGGGTCATAGTGATTCCTCAAGGACATTTAAAATTAAAAAGATGATAGCTTTGTTTAGCTATTTGTTCTCACAATCTATATTGGCTAAAACAAAAATACTTGGGTAAAGAATGTAAATATTATTATACATTTGTCTTCTTTATCCAACAATAATATAAATTCGTCGCATAGAGTATTGGTAAGGGTTAAGCTATGTTAAGTGATTGTGTATATAGCATAACCGTTTACAAAATAACTTATTTTTAGAATATAAATGGGATACATTTATATTCCAATTTCTTGCGATAATGGAATTTATTTTTCTTACTTTATTATTCTATAAAAGTTTACAAATAATTCCTCGAAATAAATTACCCTTAAAGTATTCTAAACAACATTTTTATAAATGGCTTAACTCTCGTTTATACCTTGCTCGTTTTTTCCATTCTTTAGCAAAGTTTTTAATTAAAGATATCGAGCGTTATACCTCTTGATAAAACTAATTATAATTTCATAGATTTTAAACGGTATTCTTTCATTTTTTGTTATATTAAGAGCCATAGTTAATTACTGCCTGATTTTAAACTTTTGTGGTTTTTATAAAACAATCGCATTACTTGCCTGCAGTAATACTTCATTTACGGTGAATCTCAACTGTCTTATCGCATAGTATTACGATCCTTTTCATTCGCTTTGAATAAAACAGAGATGGCAATAAAATTCAAATACACACGCCATTTGAAATACACGGTATCATAAACACGTTGCCATTAATTTTCAAAGGGCGAAGATAAGGTCAACAAAAATATATTAAAATAACAATTATTAAAACATAAACAAAGGTAAATGAGATTTGGTTTGTCGTATTTCGTACGGGTTTTATCTTTGTGTACACAAACCACTTTGTACGAACTCGGCCAGTTGGTTAAGTTGAATATTTTACACCTGGGTACATATTATTTTATTTCTGATGTTTATCATTAGTTACTTAAATTTATAAATGCGAAAATTTTGATGGATGGATGTTAGACTTTGTAATCTAAGCTGCTAAACGGATCTCGATGCAATTTTGCATAGATGTAGAGTATATCTGGAAGAACACGCAAGTCGCGTGTGAAAGCTAGTTAAAAAATAAAGAAGACTTTATATACATTAGTGTTATTTTACCTTATGATGCAGTTACTATGTTCCTTGTATTGTGATTAAAATAAATGCGCATAAAATAATTGTAATTCAAGACCTGAGTTATTGTAATTAAGCTGCATAAAATGTGATCGTTAATCTTTTACATCGTACTTAGGATATACAAACATCCATAGTTCGTGCGAATCTTCGATAAATCACATTATATATTTAATTATATTTCAAGGAACTAACTGTTCCCCTGCGACTTCATCCGCATGAAATCATGAAATTTTATTTTATTGTTTACATTTGCCAAAATATAGCAAATGTCAAAATGATGTGACATGATGACAACCTTGCTTCCTTGATGTTGGCAGCAACTTATGGTCTCTTTCCCACGTTAGGGTTTTTATTCAAAATATTAACCCCCTAAGTTTAATGTTATGAAAATACATAGCCTATAGCATGACGCACGTATAGGTCTTTTTATTAAAAAGAGAATTATTCAAAAATATGCTGTAATTGCTAAAATCTTAGGCAACAAAGAAGTGCGTGTTTACGCTTTATTACAATAGTATAGATAAGCTAGATTGAAAATTACAAAAAGACTAAACCAAATCATATCTTACTAACAGATGGATGAAGGTTTGTTAGAAGGTATCTTCAGAGCTGTTCGGCAGATCTCGGTGAAATTTTACGCAGATGATGTTTTGATTAGTTTAGATTGCATGATTGTTTAAATTCCGCGCGGATGAAAATCTAGTAAAAAAATAAATAAAGTCAATGTTCTTCGACTAATGAAAATCGAAACTGGATTGGACCAAAACAAGTATAAGAAGTCTACTGCAATATTATTTACGAATTGAACAATCTATTACTTAAGGAACTCTAAAATTAATTCATATTTACGTACATCAGAATCCCACTAAGCCAAGTCCAAGGTTAATATTTACATAACATTAAAACATTAAATAGCGTCGTTAATGCAGAGTTAGTTACGATACCGTACGTTAGTGACGACCTTCACAGTTCATGGTGCTTGTCGCTGTTAGGTGCGATTGTATTCCGAAATTACTCGCTTCATACCGTAGTAAAGAACTTTTCAAATATCTTAGCCGTTCGGGCGCACGCACATGGTGCTGTGCAGAACACAATATCAAGATCACAAATCTAGCTGCGCAGTTCGCTACATAAGGCCCGGCAAAAAGATTGAGAATTTTACAAAACATTGACTCTAGTGACATAAACACTCTAAACTTTCAGTTTCTCCTGACAGTTTTCTCTGAACTGACCGTTCAGATAAATCTGACGTGTGTAACAAATGTTCAAGTCGTAGTTTTGCCCACACACGTTAGATTTATCTAAACGATTGGACAGTTTAGATAAAACGGAGCCTGTGTAGCGGGCTTTACTAGTATTTTAGTCACAAAAGGTATATTCACACCAATACTTAATTGACCATAATAAAGGTTACCTTCTAATGAGTATATCATTCGTGTAGTTTCTTTGATCTCTGGTATACAGTGGGTCGTTATTCAAGTTTCCTCTTAACTGTAGTAGGTTCGTTATCTAGATCCGCCT